TTGTTGTTCCTACCGCGCTACCGCACCGCCACCGCACCACCGTTCAGTATTGTGCAGTAGGTACCGCAGGTTTGCAGACTGACCATCATTCGGCACTCTCCAGACTTACTGAAGGATATATCATTATATAATATCAAAATCATATACTTTTCTGCTACCGGTAGGCGTGGAAATCACCATACCGATTACTAGTGAAATTTTAGTTCCCACATGCTACAGTATGGTACCAGGTTCAATTGCGGAAAAGTATATCGGCACTCCGGGTTACGAATACACGATGTGAATACTCATTTTGTGACGTAGAAATGGTACTAATTTGCACTTACCGGTAGACCAGATTTACTGGTCTGGTTTCAAATACCGCACGGTATATATTCAAATGTGTGTACGAAAACATCAAACATCAATATATCGATGGAACGAACAAATGAAACGAAACGAGACACGAGAAACCAAGATATTTATGTAAATGTAATACCTCTGGCCTCGCTGTGGATTTTCTCAATAATGGCTCACTACAAAACCTGTCCCAGGTAACGATTGGTGGCATCACTTTTGTCAACCCATCATCTATCAACGGAACACGCTGCATGGACGGGGATACCACAAAACTTGCAACAAAACTTGCAACGGTGCGCTCCAGGTCCTTCTTTTGCACAAGACTCGGCTTCGGATCCAGCACATGCACATTTGCCCACTTTTGCTGGCGTTGTGCAAGGTTGGAATCCTCTTGTTTTGTTGCCAAACATATCAATCAGCCGCGGACGTAAAAGGGCGTTGATTTCCACCACATTATTGGCGATAACTTGCTACTTGATCTTCTTTCTGTTGGCGTCTGTTGAGTTCTTGTTGATATTATCATGGCCATGATGAAGACAAAGGACCTTCAGGAGCATTATTTTGGCTCTCTTTTGTGAAGAACATGCTGTATGGCATTCCTTCTTCATCTCCAGTTTCAACAACACTTCTTCATCCCCTGACACAACAATCAACACTGTTCTGTGAGGGCTGTTCCATGAGGCTATCGATGCTTTGATTTGATACCGGTCATTGTTTTGCTTGGATGCCTGTGTTCTCTGCTGAGAAGATCACTGCCATACTCACTTGTTGCTGTTGTTCCAGATAGCCGATATCGTTGTCAAACCGATGACAGTCTGTTTAGAATCTTGCCTTTTGCAGCGAACCATTGGGTCCAGCAGAGATACAAAAAACTTCTGGTTTAAATGCAAAATTGGATTGAGCCCAGAACACTAGTGGCGGCTTCTGTCACGACGAAAAGCAGGGATGTGGTGGAGTGGCGATACCGTTGTTGAAGTTTCATCGCTCCTAGAATGCATGACTTCATAGCCGAAGGCCTCCATAGTATAATATAACACCACAGTATAATATAAAATATTAGTTGACTGTGAATCGTTTATTTTTATGTTCTTTTTTTCTTGGCACTTCTTCCCCCCCTAGAATCAACCAGACATATTCTCTCCTAAGTATCGGGTCGGCAGCCATCTTGGTATCTATTGGAATACTACATGTCAATTAATTGAGGGGGGCACATGCACTAGTACTTCACATCCAAACAACGAAGTATAGAAAAAGATAACAATCATTTCTACTAAACTTTTTTAGGTCTTCCCCCCAAGATATGACAGGGAATTGTTACTTCATCTCCTTGACCAAAATGGTTGGAGTATTTTCAATTCCGTCTCATTTCGGGGCAAGGGTTAGAGGATGCACAATGTAGGTCCTTGCAAGACTGATCACCTCTTTTGGGAAGGTAACACTTCTTCTTGATGTACTACTACTAGAGTGGTAGCTAGCCTAGTACTAGTGCTGGGCGTCGAAGATATGCCCCATGGTCCAATCACCACGATTCACAGTAGCCGACACATCGTGTTTCCTCCAGAGGATGCATGCCCTCCAGCTGGCTGGGGCATTCCCTCTTTTCTCTCTTTGCGTGTCCTTGATGTGTTCTTGGAGTGAAATATGCCATGATATTTTAAAAATTGTGCCATGAAGCATCAAACGATATCCTGTGCTATAAGCTATGTTTATATGGTGAAGAGACGTACAGACGTTTCAGCTGGTCACCACAGCCATCGCGTCTACTTCAGTACTTGTGCAAGATGAATGGCGTACGCACCGCCCTGAAGCATGAGGGAGGCAAAACCTTTCATAACCGGTTGGGGTTGGACACGGAGGTATCGAAGAATGGCGTCGCTTGTCTAGCGGCCAATGAGTTGGATGGTGTTGCCATTGACGTTGGAGCAGAAAGGGCCATGGCGCCGCTCGCACAAAGGGGGGGCGGGCGGGCGCTGACGTTGGAAGGAAGAAAACCGAGTTTGGTGCTGTAGGTGGCGGTAGCTTGTCTCAATGTGGTGGTAATGTTGGCCAATTTTACGAAGTAGTGGCAGCTGTTTTGATAATACGTTGCAATGATGGTAGACATGTTTGCAGTATGTTGTGAACATTTGGGTTAAGCGGAAGTCAATGGCACCCGTGCTGTCTTTCCGAGCATCCCTGGCCCCCATGCTGGCCATCGTCTGGCCCACTGAGTGTATGGCGTCCGAAACTGTTGCAGATCGGACGTATTCACCTGGGGTTTGTCCTGGGCGACGGCAGTATCTGGTGGCAAAGACTTGGAGAAATCGAACGGAGTCAGGGACGTGGAGGAGGGGGTCAAGGCCAAGTTTGTCACAGTACTGGAGCCAGAGTTGCCAGTGCCTATCAGCACACTGCTGAGTTCCACAAACGACACCTTTGCGTACTGTTTGCTGGCTAATATTGAGATCACAGAGGAAAGAATCTGTGGCCAAACGTGGTGTAGTTCCCAGCAAGTCATCTGTGGATAGGTAGAGTTAAAGTAAGCAAGGAACGCAGCATCAGATAGATGCCACAGCTATGAAGCATCGTCACTCATTTTGTTTAGCAGTCCTGGGAGATAGTTGTTGAACGGCA